CAGATGGAACACCATAGCGACAAATCCAATTTTTGCTGAACACATCCACAATTGTCCTGGCTTCTTGATTCGGGATAGCATAAACCTCTGGCCATTTACTGAAGTAATCCATGACCACTAAGACATACCGGTTCCCAGAGTCGCTTGTGGGGAACGGTCCAGCTACATCCATTGCGATTCTCTCAAAAGGGGCTCCTGAATTATACTGCTGCATGTAGCCTCGACTCTTCCGTGTTGGACCTTTAGCTCTTATGCACCTTTCACAATTGGCGATCCAGTCGGCAATGGATTTTTGACAGCCGACCCAGTAGAATCTCTGCTTTACCTTTTCAGCGGTCTTTGCTATGCCAAGATGTCCTCCACTTGGACCATCGTGAAACTCCGACAAGACATCTCTTATTTTGGAGTCTGGGACGACGATCAAGTTCCGGTGAGATTTACCGTCCTCACCTTCCCATTTGCGATATAAGCAATCATCTATTATCAGTAGACTGTCCCACTGGGCCCAATATGATTTTAAATAAGGACTTTCGGAGGTAATTTCTTTGCGACTAGGTCGCTTGCCCGCTTCTATGGCCGAAATTATTTTGCCCAGAATGGGATCTCTTCGTTGTTCCGTCGACCAATCTTCACCCGACTCAAACTGCAATAGTCGGACATCAACGATATTCTCTTTGCACTCGGCCTTTGAGCAGTGCCTGTATTCTACCTTGCATGGCCGACGAGACAGGGCATCAGCATTACCGTGTTTTCCGCCTTCTCTGTGCTCGATTCTGTTTAACGGTGACTCATTGGTGGACTGTTGAGCCATTCTTCTACCATCTTTCGTTGGAGGTGGTGACGATGACCTGGATCGTTTGCGCTTAGCTCTGCATTCGCGCGCAATATGACCTGCTTTATCGCAGTTGTAGCATCTAACCCTGGGCTTAGTCATCCCTACTAACTTTGTTTCTTCTATTACCCGCCTCATGGCGTCCTTGATCAAGTTAACGAGATATTTGTGTTCGCAACATTCGGTCTCCAGTTGGCTAATCTTGTGGGTCTGGGGCTTAACAATCATTCTTGCCGTCTCTTGGGCAAGGGCAAACGACACAGTTTCGGCAAACGACGCTTTTGGTGACGCATATGTTGCACATTTAATCTCAGGGTCACGTATGCCATTCACAAAGGTTTCGATTTTCATACGGTCCAGCAATGGGTGATTCTCTCCTGGATACGTCATTAGCACCAAACGTTCCACCTCAGCTGCAAAATCTTGTAACGTCTCGTTTGCCCTCTGTACTCTTCCCCTTAATTCCATAAGGTATATGTTTTGTTTATGTTCGCCTCCGTACTTACGTTCCAGTGCAGCAATAACATCTTCATAGTTGTTTCTAGAAGCGACAGGAATACTCTGTATAACATCAGCAGCACTGCCCTTCAATGCCAGAAGTAGTGCAACCGCTTTGTCGCTGTCGTTCCACGAATTTCTAGAAGCCACTGTCTCGAACTGTAACTTGAAAACACTGAATGACGTAGAGCCGTCGAATACAGGAGGTTTGATTTTTAGTGTGTTATCAGGAACTCGCACCGGACCACCATTAATTTCCAGCTCCGACATTTTCTTCCCCAGATTCGTAAACCTGTGGTCGTGGGCCAGAAATTTCTCATCCACAGATAGAATCTTCTCGTCAACCGACTGCACTTTCTTATCCAACTCTTTAATTTGGACCTCCACGGTTTCCACTCTCCTTCCAATAACTTCTGTAATGTTCTCGAGTTTCTCGTTCATTATTCTCGAATTTTCGTCAAACATTCTACAATTCTCTGCCTTGAGTTCATCTAACTTTCTGGAATTCTCTTCGAACATTCGTCTCGTGTTTTCTTCTAACTTTCTGGAATTCTCTTCGCTCCTTCTGGAATTTTCCTCAAACATTTTAGCCAGCATTTCTCTTAAATCGTCACCCCTGGCAGCTACTGACGAGACTTCCCCACCGTTGGACTCGCCCATTTCCGATAAATCCACTTCATCCTTACTGTCAAACTCATATGTATCGATGTTCATACCACGGCGCTCGAACTCATCCAACAGACGTTTTTGGAGTTCAGCCTTGTTGCCAGTAGAGGACAATTCCAATTTATTCAGCTCCTTCTTCAAGTCTTCCACTCGTAGATCCTTAAACTTCATCGTAGTACTATCGTAATCTCACTTCCGACACCAATTGTTACGTTCTTGGATTTTGCTTAATCCCGTGTAGACGTTGTTTTATTTCCCGATACAATTCGTACCAAATAAAACGCGGGTTCTTTCGGATTACGATTATTACAATGATTTTATTCACACAACTTTACTTTGCACTTTACTTTACTCGACGGTTTCAATTCGCGATCTGATTCACAACTGACTCACTGCCTTTCCATTTCCCCTATTTATATGAGCCTTGCTTGTCGCTACAGAAGTTTCTAGACGATCTGGTAACACCTAGATCACGAACAATCTACCAATGCAACGAACACACATACAAACTTACATTGAGTAAACAATAACAACAACACATTGAGCGAACAATAACAACAACACATATACAGGCGAGGGGGTAACAAAGAAAGAGGAATTAAGCGATCATCAATGATGACGTTTAACAAGAATTGTACGACATTAACAAAATAGAAAATGAAAGAGGAAATGGACGGATGTAGAAAAATCTATACAGTAGTTGTTGTTGTGAAGTTACTCGAATAAATTGCGTAGTAGAAATTTACGTTACAATTCAAATTCTTAAATTAACGGAATTCATCTAAATTAACTTAAATCTAATGTTATATTCGTAACAATATATATATATATATATATATAGAATGACAAGAACAATGACAAGAACTTACATTTGTTATTTCCCTTTCAATTTTAACTAACGGAATGAATCGAAATAAAAGGATTGTCTTTTATATACATTCAAAGGTATATTAATAAGGTAACCGTATCAAGGCAGCTGATGGTAACATTATATGTCAAATATAATTTTGGATTCGACGTAGGAAAATACAAATTTCAAACAAAAATTTAATAAAATTATTTTGAAATCAATTTTATGAAATATTTAACAATTTGTGAGCAATGCGGTGTATTCGGACGATCCACTGCTCTTAAATTTTCTATGGAGCTTAACCCTGATTGTGCAAAAATCCTGCAACAATTATCTGATATTTGAGTCTCTAACAATCACAACAAGATTCGAGTATATGGAATAATCAAACATTTTATATATACCATATCGGCGGCTACCTTATATATCTACCTTGATACATACAAATTATTTCATAGAATACTATTATAAATGAAATAAATATAAAGGCTCATGGACTACTTAAAAAAATTAGGGTCGTACCTAAATGCATGCGTATGCGTACGATTTTATTCACCTCAAAAGTTAAATACATGTATTTCAATGAATGTTACCCAAATACGCATTGCGTATAAAAATATAAAGTTGAAAAATTTCAACATTGACAATGCGTATTTTGAATTTTTTTATTTTTTGAAAATATAATTCCAGCCATTGAAAATTTTGTTTTTCTATAAACGTAAACGTTTTTCGGTTAATTTTGAAAATGTTATCAATAATTTTCGCCGTTTTCAATTGACACACAAGTAAATAAAGTCCTTGCGTATTTGGGTAATACGGACGCTCAACGAACCCTATAAAGGTGAGAAGGTGGGTATTTTAGTACGCAACGCACTGAATTTAGGTACGGGCCTTAAACACAATATAATACGTTAGAGTAGAAACTAATATAAGATTAACATGCCTGTAGGGTTATTCCTCATGGAATAACTCGCAATTTCCAGCATTTACATATTTTATTTGGGGATTCCATAATATTTCTTTTTTAACATGGCATAACTAAAATAAAAATATATAATTTCTGAAACCGCACATTGTTCTCAACATTTAACTCTGGTGGTTACAACTTGTATTTATATGTTTTAGACACCAAGGTTTTAATACCAAGTTATGCCCTTTTCAATACATAGTTGAGTGCAAAAATGTGTACAGCACCATATTGTCTTATAGTCCAAATTGTTGAAATCGCTTCGTATTCGAAATGTTCGAATTGACTCTACAAATTTTAAAAAAGAACCTAAAGAATAATCAAATGTGATATTTTTGTCGATATTACATTTGATTTTCTAGTTGTTGGACTATTTTTATGAACGCAAAAAAATAGTTCTGTAGCCACTCAAAAAAAAAAAATCGGTGCTCAAAGGATCAAATATGTATTGAAAAGCGCATAACTTTTAATATTATAGATGTTTCTTTTATATATATATATATCGTCGTTAATTAGGTTTTAAGATATGTAATTCCAAAAATATGTACAAAATACCATTTTTCTATCAACGTATTTCATTACGAAATATTATATAGTTTATACTTCCTACATTAGTTTTTATTGCACGTTTTTGAACTAATTTCAAATATTTTTTTTTTTTAAATATAAATTTGATGTTCCAGTAATGAGATTCTTTGAGCTTGAGGTCTTTTGTTAAATTAGTTTATTTATTCAAATATTTCAAAAAGAAAAAAAAAACACTCAACATAAATATAAATTTGATGTATATACTGCAATTAATTCGGATTATTTACATTACAAAAATGTACTGAGTTTTTCCTTTATGCTTTTGTGACCACTACCCGTTTACTGGATGCTATTTTTATCTTATTGGACATAAAAAATGTTGCTGAAAATGTATTCAGCATACGCTGTGTTTTCTAAAAGAATTAGCTCAACGTGTTGCCACTGCACTTTGTCAGATACGCCATGCGCCCTTTGGCATGCTGGCGTAAGAAAGCTTGTCATTATTCAACGAGCTTCGTCAAGCCCTCACAATTGAACAATGATGTGGTTATTAGACGACAATTTTCAATTAGTAATCGGTATTCATATCCGTTAACGGAGCGAGACAACCGCATATTTTGGCAAAAGAGCCAATCGTATATTCGACTCGTCGTTTAACCGAGTCTTTTGTACGTTCGTTTGTAAAGGCAGTCGTCAAAATCAAGTGCGATTTGTGTGGTGCAAAGAATTGTGAATTCGTCGTTACTACATCGAATTCATTTGCCAAATCTCTGAATTCTGACAAAAGAGCAAATTCACAAATTTCCAACGTTTCTTTTTTTCTTTGAATATTTTCCATTAGAAATATTGAGTAGAATTAAATAATTTTTTATTGATATTCGATTCGGATTGTTTGGTGAGCTTTGCTACACAACAATAGTTGGCGAGGAGCAGCGGCGGCTTCAACCTCTCGTGGAAAAAGAAAAATCATACACAGAAAATTTGTAATCAAATTTTAACAGCATAAAATGGCGTTAAAAAGAATTAATAAGGTATGTGATTTTGGAGAACGTATCTCCCTCAAATATGAACGATGCATTCCTAGCTGACGAACTGAAAACGAAAAGAAAAAAAATTGAATTGAAATGCAAAAAATGTGGTGATGAAAATAATCTGAAAAAATGCTTTGAATTCGCATAAGAAAAAAATTTTATGCAAGAAATGTGAAACGTCGTCGTCGTCTCGGAGTGTAAAAAAATGAGAAGCGAATAAAAATGACGGGGAAAATTGATCGAATAAAATGATGGGCGACCGACCGAAGAGCCCAACCGATGAGACACCGCACACACGGCACGAAGTTTTTTCTTTTTTTTTTTTGGTATTTTTTGCTTTGCTGCTAAAGCTTGCTAAAAAATATATTAATGACAATTCAAATAAGGGAAAAATGATACATTGTGGCTGGCTGGTGGTGACGATTGGATACAAAAAAAAAAAGAAATAATGCAGTGAAAAGTCCAATGATCTTTACTTTGTAAAATGGAATTGATTTCCGACAAAAAAAAAAAATTCTGTGCGAATTTGTTAAAAAAAGTGTGCTGCGGTGAACAAAGGGGGGAAATATTGAATTTATAAATTTTTTCTGCATGTGGACCCCCTCATTTCCTGTATGTGTGTGCGCGCTGATGGTGATGATGATGGACTTTTGTGTTTTTTTTTCTTCTTTCTCATAATGGGGAAGGAAAGTAACGAAGAGAAGAATTTACACCACAGCGTGATGTCTGAACAAAAGATGAGGAAGCCGGTTTAAGTGGATGTGTACAAGGAATATTCATCCCGTCCATCTATGCCACAATTAAAAATAGAAAAAGTACAATAGCAATGGTTTTTCTGCTCTTTCCTAAAAGGTGTTACCCAATTTTCGTGGTATACACAGCAATTATAGCTATCAGTCTTTTCGCCTGTCCGTCCGTCGTACGTTCTGTTGCTATCAAAAGCAAAAACACAAGAACAACACACCACAAAGCAAAGACAAAGTGAATACTCTCCAGTAGTTAGCCAGCCAGCCATGGTACCTACGAACGAACGACACTACAAGTTGCCTCAGTCAGTCGACAGTCTGCTGCCAGATGATGAAAAGAACCTAACCTAACATTTGTTTCTCTTAAAATTGCAAACACCAAGTTGTCACTGTTGATGTTGTGTTACTCATTACTGGATGGAGTGGTGCAAGGATATTTTATTTTTGAATGCAATTTTTTTTAATTGATTTGCTTGTGCCATTGCTTCTGTGCTGGGAGAGGGAAAGGAAAAAGTCAAAACTTCTAGAATATAGTTCAATCATAAGCAGCAATAACGGCGGCGGTGGCGACCACTACGTAGTCGTCGACTGCAACAACCAAAACGAAGCAAGCACAACTCAACATTACCATTAGCAGGGAAACGTCACATTTAACAGGGACGTTAGCTGCTGTTTTTTGTTGTTTTGATTTCTTCGTTTGCTTTTCGTCGTCGTTGTCGGGTGGTCTACTTTCTATTTCTTTTCTTCTCACAATTCGTATAGCTTTCTCTGAAAGGCCAAATTGCTTGAAATAGTGTTGTCTCCCTTTTGTTTTTTGTTGTTTTTGACAGACGGAACGACACAAACAGTAGACGGGCAAAACGACAGAAAAGCCAGCAGTGGCAGCATTTATGCAGAGAGAGAGAGTGAGCTCCTTGTTCGCTCTCTCTTTGTGTGTTGTCGCAGCTGTTTTACGCCCTTGTTTGTTGTGTTGTCTTGTAAAGCCGGCTTAAATCCAATAGGATTTTTTATGCTATTGTTTTTGTAATGTGTTATTTGTTTGCGGGAGGGGGGCGGTGGTTTAGGGGAGGCGGTTAGGCTTGAAGTTGTGTGAAATTGTATTCCAAAGTGTTTTGAAAAAAAAAAAAAAATATTTGCAAAATTGTTTCTGTTTAATTTATTCTGCCCTGATGCTGTTGTCCCTTTCTTCTACTTTGTGTGTGTTTCTTCCCCGTAGTTATTTTTGCGTTTCTCTGTGTTTTCGTTTCGTCGTTGACGTTACTCGGTAATTTTATAACGCACAGAGTTGTATTTTTTGATTTATAGTTTGCAAAAACTCATGCGTGACACAAACGCACATACAAACGCTCATTTCTGTATATTTGTGTGTGTTCATCCAAAAAGAAAACAATGTACACAAATGAAGTCGTCTTATCGGCGGTTTGTGTTTCTTTAGATCTGAGATGATATATTAAAAAATAGGACCTTGTAAATAGGAGTTACCAGATGTTTGAATATTTAATTGGACATTTCAACTGATTGGCCTGGGCCAGTTGGCTGGCATCGTCATAGTGACAAGTGTACATGTGATTCATACGAATGTTTTGTTTGGCTTTCGAAACAAAGAATAGCTAGTTGGAAGGAGTGTGTCACTGGCAATTTAGAGGACAACACACATCTTGCAAATATGTAATAAATAATTTATAAACAGCTGGTTGCATGTGTTATGACCTTACATTAAAATAATTACCCACTATTCTATTGTCTGGAACTATACCTATGGTTTCTTCATCGTTACATAAATAACCATGTTATGAGCATATGTATTTTCTAAACATCAGAGGCAAACATTTCGAGAATATATATTTAGGGGTCAGGGGGACAAAACCCAGCAATGATATGAAAAAATTCAAAAGTCCAGAATTTGTAATACAATCAACGCCCGGTATAACGAATGATATATTGCCTGGCCCATTCATTATAGCCAAACATCGTTATATCGTGAAGTTTTTATAAGGAGAAATTTTATATGGACTTGCAAAGTTTAATAGGTTCTCTTGGTCCACAACGTATAATTTAATATTGAAAAACGCTTAACATACAATTAAAGAATATCTTTGTATATCAATTCCCTTGTATCTATTTCATTTGGAAGGAAGAAAATTAACCCGGAGAATAATGTAGAGCTGGTACTACTTTATACGATATTTGAAGACCTAATTTTCGGTACTAATGTTTTGTATAAAGCAACGCCGTTATATATTAAAATATAGGGTATTAACATGGGCGACCAAATCTACATCTCATTTTATTTCACTACCATCATTAACCCTTTTAAAGGTATGCAGAATATTAATTTCATCATAGAACATAGTGTTTCATTAGCTAAACTATTTTTCTTTATGTTCTATGTTGGGTCAATTATTGTTTCACAGAAAAATGGTTAATATTCAAAGCAGCGATTTCTCGAACAAAAAACTCAAATATGTTTTTGTACGTATGCATAGTTGTGTTTGCATAGTAAAATAGCCATTTGACTGTTCTCCTCTCCACATATATTAGTTTTACCGGTAGTTGGAGGTTTTTCTTTGTCTTTTGTATTAAGTTTTTTGATGAGTCATCGTAATAATAATACATTTTTCATCTTCATTATTTTTATTTCATGTTGTAGAGAAAAATATATGACAAATTTTGTTAATATTGTTAAATTGTTTTAAAACAGCATATTTGTTTAGAATTTACTGTTCTGCTGTTGTTTATCTTTTTATTTCATAAACAAATGCAAGTCGAGATTTTATATAATCATAAAATGTCAGATTTGAAAATGTTGTTGGTATTTTAATGTCATTTATTAAATGCCATTGCGATAACAACAAATTTATTAAACGGCCTTTTACTGTTATTTGCTGTTGGTCAAGTCAAGGTCATTACTTTGTAATAATAAATTACCGCCTATATTGATTTTTTCATATCTCATTGAAGTTGGAATAAAATATTTTCTCTTCTACATCCACTTTGGAAATTTAAATGGAAGTGGAATTAAAATGACGCGAGTTTGCAGTATAGTTTTTTTTATGAAAACAAATAATGTACATGATTATCTATATTTTTTGAATATACCATTAATAATTGTGACTATTCCTTATTTATTTCAGTTAATTCGTTTTTCAATTTGAGATAAATGTAGAATTGAACTTATCATCACTTTGTATAGAAACAGTTTTATTATATCAACAAATCATTTAAGTAAAATTGATAGTTGATAGTTGTGTTACTAAGAATCTATGTGTAATTATTCGATATCTGATTTTAAGTCACCTGTTTAACTAAAGGAATCTAAATGTTTAAATTATAGTCAACGAATCATATGCGGCCCTAATCTATGTGCAAAAAATGTGAATGGAGGTCGAACCATCTCGATTTTAGAATTTTGCCTGATCAGAAGTCGCTGCTAAAGATTAACTCGTTGACGGACAGTAGAAACAAATGAAATTGGAAAACATGACACTAGGCTTCTACTTGTACGCTGGTAAATGCACATTTGTGCTGCTACAGCCGTCATGTCACATAGTGAACTTGAACTTGACGCCTATAGACGCAACGGTCCGTCAACGTGTTAAGAATATGGAATTCGCAATGTGATGGATGGTCTACGACAAATTTGAAATGTAGAAGAAACAAATATGAATATGAGCCATCTCTAACGTATGAATCCTATCAGTATCCTCGAGTGTATTGGATTTGATCTAAACTCCGAAGATGGATATTAAGACATACAAAAAATTAAAATCATAAAAATTTAAATGTCATATTCCTTTATACCATACTTCTCACAACATATAGAAAGTGCAAAAGTGTTGAAATAACAAGAAGAAGAATAACAATTTGGTTGAAATAATCCAGATATTGTTAATTATGTTGGTCTCAATTGTCGAATTATATAACTTTATATAACTTATACCGATCAGTTGAGCAACTGCTTAGACAATAGTTTTTTTCAAGCGGCGGATGATAGAACTAAAATTTTGCGTATTAATAATCTACACCTATAACTGATAAATATTATCTGAAAATTCCTGGTAGTATACAAAGGTCTGCGTATAAATTCAATAGGCTTAGGGTAGTAGAACCCCTACTTACAAACTTGTTCTGTTCATATACAGTCAAATCCGATTAATTAATAGTGGCCACATGCAGTTAGTTTGTTTCAATTCGCCGAGTTATTCAGTAATGCGATACTTTATATATAGGGATTTCCGGCTAAAGGTAGACCAAGGTCGAAGTTCTTGATATTTCTTATTTATTTAAGACTATTTAAAGTTCAAAATGTTCACACAATTAGAAGAGTTTTTCGTTTTTTGACAATGATGTCTAATCATGTATATTTGAAGTCGCGTAAGTGACCGCTCTTTTGCAGTTTTTTATATCAAAAGATAAAAACAAGATAGTACGGGAGACTTTTTTAGAGCTCTTTATCTAAGTACTTATTTTACAGATATAAAAACTTTATGGCTGGTTATTGTCTTCTGATACTTAATTATAAAAATTAGCACCAATTAGTATTAGCTTAGTTTTTTACAGTTTTGTATAAAAAGTCAAATTCGCCAAATGTGCCCCTTCCCGGGGTAGCTTCGGCCTTTGATGAGGCTATTGGATACCAAGTATAAATTCAGTTTTTTTTTCGAAACTTTTGGAAACAGCAAATTTAACGATTTAAACGGGGAATTAATATCTCGCGATGAAAAATGTGTGAAAAATTTAAAGAATTATTAGGTTTCAAACATTTTTATTTTTCAATTAACCGGAGTTTTCAATTAAACTATTTGCAATTAGGCGGATTCGACTGTATACGTATACGGCTGAACATTTTGGAAACAAACAACACGTAATCATTTCTACAGTGGAGGATGGCTTCCCAGTGAATTCTTTTGTATAAATACTATGTTTGTGGGGCTATTTTATTTATTGTATTATACATATAGTTTTAATAACAAACACTGACGTCAAAGTGTTTCTTTATAAATAAAACTAATTATTCAGGAATGTTTTGTTCTTTTGTTTTATTAATTTTCGTTTACTAAGGACATTTATCGACAGGCATGAAAATTACAAAGTATCTGACATTACTTTGGGCCAATAAAATTCAAGGAATATCGTCATCCCATCATTATTTAGTATTAGAAAATTTGTTCAATATTTGTTCAGGAATCAAAAAATCTCAACATTTTTATATTTAAAATTTTTGTTGTTGTTTTCTTTCGATTTTATTCGTGATGTTATTTTTATTTTGGTCACTGCGCTGACGTTTTGTCAACGTTGATCGTTTTTGTGATGGACGAATATTATACAGCCCCGGCTGCCAACCAGCAAACCATCCATGCATATATATTAATGTGTATGTCAGTGTGTGTATATTAAATCATGATGCTGATATATATAAATACTCCTATGTATTATGAGGGACGATGGTGCTACCTCTTCCTGATCTTACATTATATGTACGTAGCATATTTTTTCATATAAATATGTACGTATTAGAATGTGTGTATGTCATTGTGTTTTTGCTTTTGTTTTCTTTCTACGTCAAGGAAGAAATACAAACAGACGACAGGCAGGCAGGCATAACATAACAGCAAGACCAGAGTGTGGACTTGTGTGCTTTCTTTGCACTCATGTCGTCACAATTCTTATAACGCATAATCGCATTGGAAAACAAAGTGTAAAAAGTTACACTTGTTTTATGAAATAAAAAAATGTTTAGTTTATTTAAAATTGTCATGTTCTAAAGTTTTTAATTCTTTCGTACAGTGGGTCTATGAAATTATTTTGTGAATATGTAATTCTTATTTCATTTTAAAATACGCATATCTCGATGCTTCCAAAATGATTCATTTCATATATAATTTGTGTTTTATTGTGTTTCTCGGTTTTATTTTAATATACTGGGAAAATACTATCAGTATATGGAAAATTAAATGGAAAGATAATATAAAATAACAGGTCAATAAGCCTCACAGGTTTTGATCATTCTCTAAAGAGAAGTATGCTCAAAACAAAATGAGGATTTAATCCAGTGATTACAATGGTCCTCCAAAAACATTGTTAGAGTTAACTGCAGATTCACCTAAGTAGACGGAATAAAAAAGTAATATTAAATCACACATGGATGTTGGAAATATGGAACTATAAATATATTGGTCGACATTGCTCAAATTCGGTTTACAAAATGCTGCCTCAATATATTGGTATAAAGTCGTCTGCACAAATTGCGATAATATTGGGGCAAGATTTTAAGAAGTTTGGTGTTTCCAAAAAGTTCTTTGGTGATCTATTATAAATCTTTAATTACAAATGTGTGCAATACGGAGAGGAAAAGCATTCCATCCGAAATAGTTAACTGGTCAATATACCAACAAAGTGAGAATGTCATAATCTTTAATTTCCAATTTTCATATTACCTTTTTGTATGGATAACGTTCTACTCGGTAATTAACAGATAAAATAATTATGTTAATATTAAAAGAATTCTGTTAATATTAAAAATTGTAAAGAATCGAATTCAATTTTACGCAATCCACTGTGCATAAATGGCATCACATGCATTTTTTTGGTTTTGCAATCAGATTTTGGTTTTGTTAGGCAAACAATTTTTTTTCATCTCTTGCCAAAAAATAAACTTTGCTTGCATTAGCAGATTTGTGCGTTTGTTTGTGTGTGTGTGTGTGTTCAGCAGTCGGCAGGGCCAATGAACTTTTTTAATACAGAAATTTTACATGCCTTTTTGTTGGTGGTGGTGGGGGTATTAAATTTTATATATTTAGTTGCGGTGGGGTGGTGTGGGAGGGATGTGTGGAACAAATATTACGTGCGTGTGAAACGCTTGCTTATTGTCGTTTTTACGGTTTCTCATTTTTTTACTGTTGCATTTTTACCTTCATTGCTGCAAATACATTTTTTGTAACGATTTATGACACATCGCCCCCATACCATAGGGCGATATATGATGGGTGATTGTTGTTGGCTAAAGAAATCTTGTAGTTTCGCAACTTTAAAAAAGTGAAATAACTGTTCTTGAAGTAAAACGTTTGTTTCATGTTCATGTTCATTTTTTTTGTATTTATCACCTTGAATTTCCAAATACACGAATATGTGAATTTTTGCATTTCAATTTTATTCGTATCGTTTCCAAAAAAAAAAAATAAAATAAAATAAACTCGTATTAACTAAAATTTATTTCTGTTTTAGGAATTACAAGATTTGGGCAGAGATCCACCTGCACAATGTTCGGCTGGTCCAGTTGGCGACGATTGTAAGTATATAATTGTAAAGTAAATTTGATGAAAATATAAATCATAAGATAATCTGGGCAAGACAATGTTTAGTTCACAAAAAGGATTTTGTAGGGTGCTTCGTAGGTTTTGAACTTTGTAGATAAGACAAGGTTAAAAATAATAATTCCCCAAATAATGCAGTTTGTTGTATCTCCACTTGAATCAATTCGACAGAGTTTCTTCTGAAACAAATCTTTTTATTTCTTTATATCAGAATCGTTTATAAAAACATCGCGTTAATTTTTAATTTATTAAAAGAATATTAATCACCCTTATTACGGTAGGCGTACGGCAGCTCTCGTAGACGTAGTCGAATGCGTTGTTGTAGTTGTTTTTGTTCGGTATTATGTAAAATTTACGACAACGACATATTTTGTAATAGATTTTTCTTTTACTCTGTTACGAAACCAAAGCAAAAATTTTACTTTTAGAACTCTTTTTATATTGCATTGGAAAAACTATGTCATTTTGTTTCTTTTCTAATTAATTTTCTGGTAATTGTAATTCTTATGAATATTGAGGAATGCAACAAAATATAGTCTAATGTAGCAGTTAATCAGTAAATGCAATTTTAACACATTTTTATATTTTTTTGTATGCTGTCGTCAAAAAAATATCTCTCATTACAGATTTAACGCCTTTCGTAATACCGATTAGTCGTATGTGCCAAATTTTCAACACGACTACGCCAACCGTAATAAGGGTGAATATATACTAAATATATGGATACGACTTTATATTATTAGAACTAGACAGTTGATCTTAGTACCGAAACAGAACGGTATAAGACGGTATGACTATCTAGCAAAACAACTTGACAATGTAAAGTCAATCAACAATAAACACATTGAGCAAAGTAGTATAGTCGGACAGGCCAGACCATATGATATCCTACGCAACTACCACGAAAATCTAACTTTCTGCGGTTCTATCTTCTGAGCCTGGGCAATATTTCCCGATATTTGAATCCTATTAGGTTGCTAATTAGCTTAGAAAGATATGGTTATTTAGCCATGTCAGATTCTTGACAATGCCTAGGATCTGCTTGTTGTCTATTTTGGAGAAGAATGTTAGGTTATCAATTTCATATTTGTCATACTGTGTCTTCTGCCACTCAGCGATGGACACCGACAGAGGATATGTTCAATTGTTTCTAGCTCATCTTCGTCCTCACATAGACGGCAGTAATCCTCTCCGTTGATGTTGAGAGATCGATTCCTGCAGTGACCTGTTATGATCCCCACAATGATTATATTGATTTCGGCGAGAGAATTTTGCCCAGATAGCTTTCGATATTTTGTAACCTGGTTCGCTTTACCATCTGTTACCGACTACCTCGCCGTAGATCAAACGGATTCTGCCAATGAAATAGTCAACGGGCGGTTGCACAAATCTCTCTATCGGAAGGTTGAACGACTGTGAACCCCCTCGAGCAAGCTCATCGGCAATATCATTCCCTTCTATTTTTTACAAACTCTTGGGGGTCTAGATCCAGATACTGACAATGACTTTACCACTATGTTAGGTTAATGGATGCAGAACTGTGGTCCATTGTGTTTATCCTGAAAAAATAATATAAAGTTGTTGTTATTGTAGCACCCCTATTACTTAATTCTAGAATTTGCATTAAGGTTCCCTTCGCCAACTAATTCTAGCTTTCTTAAAGTACATTTTAAGGATCCTTTTAAGATTGTTTTATCAAATGGTAGCATCAACTATTTCATTTCCTTTTATCTCGCCTTGAACAAAATAAAATGGCAGATGTCACTTTACAACTTATTCAATAAGACATCCAAGTATTCAAATACCTTTATAATAAATTCTAATGGGTGCTTTGCGATCACTGTCAGGAGACCAGAAAATCTGAAGAGGAGTTTGAAGTGCTGCTATGCAGTACAGAATTAAAACTTGTGACATAGATAATTCAATCCGCTTCTTTAATTTCAAATCGTGTGCGGTCATCGGCCATTTTAGTTTCAAGCGGCCTCTGTTTATGGACTGTACCGCAAAATTACTTAATTCTCATACTGAATACAATTATTGAATTCCTTTAACCCTCTAATAGAAGAAGCATTTATTTGAGTTACTTTGAACCAAATCTTAGATTGATCTTCATAATAATTGCATGTAAAAATCACTAAACATTTTCTGCGAGAAGGTATATGTCTGATCGACATAAAAAATGTTTAACGCTTAAAAATGTGTCCTTTAGTCAGGCGGATCAATTCAGTCCTTCGATAAAAAATATATATTGATAGTGTGAAAATCCCTATGATCCTTTATAAGGATTATTAACACATGTGCTTGAAATATTTGTGCTGTGCTAAATTTGTAGACTACGTTACAAATTTAGCCAGGCAGTTAAATATTTTTTACCATGGTACTCAAGCAAAATTTTAAATTAACAATAATCTCATTTCGGTACCCATATAAATAGATAACGTATCGCTACCGTCTGCCGCTAGCCTAAATGATAAGAAGGCAACCAAATCAAAATTTGTGTATTTCGCCAAATGGTAGTTGGACCGACCAATGCGGTTGGCACACAACCTGTTTTCCTATATGGTATAAAAACTAAATGTTTGCCGGTACCATAAAATGTAAAGTACCGGTGGCATAACGCCGCACAACTGTTTATCTTGGGAATTTATACTATCAAGACATTGCGGCAACGACAAACATTTGAAAACATTTTGGCTGCAATTACAAAGTAAATAAAGATGAAATTAGAATATATATATATATATATATATATATATTAACATTCAATCAAATAGTATTACTTATAAACGTCGTTTCCACGACAGAGGGGTCTACGATCCGAAACGACCCGAGTTATACTCGGCCAACGTCTGTCACCTCAGCCCATTGTGTAAAAACAATAGGGCTGTTACAACAACAACTTATAAACGTTGCAAACATTTATAGGAAAAATGCTTAATATATTATAGTATTTTAGAATAAATGTAAAGATAGTGGGGAGGTGTAATATGTCCAATTTGAGGCTACACTTTACATAGCAAAAATTTTATATTTGTAACTAATTTGTGTTTCTTTTTCTATTTCAGTATTTCACTGGCAAGCTACAATAATGGGACCGGTAAGATATGATAATATTGTGTAACATACAAAGCTTTTGATCCATTAATCGCAATAATTAGGTTCATTAATTTAAAATGATTTCGATAAGATATCAAATTTCAAACTAAATTTGTTTACAATTTGTAATTTCTCATCGCCACTACGATGTTATAGTGATAGTATTAGTATTGTTTAGACAAATATTTATTAAATTATTTTCTTAATTAGGTATTAAATTGATGAATAGTAGCCTTAAGAAAATGTCCCACGAGGGTGGGACAAATCTGATTTTCGAATGTATATTATTGTGAATCATATCATTATTGTAATTATGCCTATATGAGTAAAAATGTGTATCGAATCCTAGGATTATCCTTGATTATAGAGACCGTGTATGCCTACATTGTACTCAAAGAATATTAGATATCTACTTTTTTTGGATTTGTCATTAGACCCTCAGCTTTATGGCTAATGTTTCCATGTTTCTTTGAAGAAAATCTATTTTAGATAATTTGGTGTCTCTCTGACTGTTGTGCACGATAAATCTCGAAAGGAGTAACCAATTTCTCATCACAATATTACTTCCAAACTTAGTTCAAGTTCGGTCCCCTCCTTCTGTTACCTCCCCCACAAAATGGTTACAATTTTGATGACAATTATTTTTATAATATACGAACTGGCTATCCAATTTGAACTAAACTTTGCAAAACTTAATATTTTATGTATAATGTTAGAAAATGTGACTTATCGATCTACTCCTTCTAGTACCACTCCCACAACAGGTCAACATTTTGAAAACTTGTAAATCTCATATGGAATGGAGTATCCAATTGCGTCCAAACTTTGCAAGCTCAATTTTGTGAGGTTCTTATTTCGTTCTTCGGGATTTTGTTATTCATAATAATCTCTGACTGTTGTGCACGATAAATCTCGAAAGGAGTAACCAATTTCTCATCACAATATTACTTCCAAACTTAGTTCAAGTTCGGTCCCCTCCTTCTGTTACCTCCCCCACAAAATGGTTACAATTTTGATGACAATTATTTTTATAATATACGAACTGGATATCCAATTTGAACTAAACTTTGCAAAATTTAATATTTTATGTATAATGTTAGAAAATGTGACTTATCGATCTACTCCTTCTAGTACCACTCCCACAACAGGTCAACATTTTGAAAACTTGTAAATCTCATATGGAATGGAGTATCCAATTGTGTCCAAACTTTGCAAGCTTAATTTTGTGAGGTTCTTATTTCGTTCTTCGTGATTTTGTTATTCATAATAATAGTAAATCACAGGGAATTGGACGTTGTTGTGGGTTGTGGATTTTTCTGCTATTTGCAATAAGTTATATAATATTATTTATTAAAATATTGCAAATATAAAACATGGTGCCAACTTTGGGAACCTGTTATCCAATTCTCGGCATGGCTAAATAAGGCATTTCAGAGGTTAACAAATTTAAGATTAAAACAATGTCTTTCATTATGTAAAACCATTCAAAATTGATTTTTTATAAATAAATCGTTATTTAGAGCCCTTATTTAATTTTGAGACAAAATGATCGAGAAGGTGCTTCTTATTCCTTCCCACATATGCCGACTATAGGAAAACCTTAACATTTTTTGTTCCTAAGGGCGGCATCGGCATAATTGGAAATATTTTTTAATGATTTTAAATTCTAAAGTATTCTCCTCTATGTTCTTTACAACTACGAAAAATATCCTTGTGAACAAAAATAAAATTTTAATACAGTTACAAGTCTTTTGAAATCGACATACCCACCAATTTTCTCTTAAAAAACATGAATTATCGCTGGTGTTGACAAACCTCATTGACCAAATGCAAAAATTTTGACTGAATAAATGTACGTAGATCTCGGCTATCTGTCGGCAAACACCCACTGACACTTCTTTTGTTCTATATCAGATTGCACAGTTTTCCTACAACAGGAGGAGAAGGAGTACTTACTGTCAATAATAGCTATAGCTAGAACAAAATTTGCGTTGAAAAGGACTGTTTTTAGAGTGATGATAAAGCAACTAATGGTAAAAATATATGATGCGCCAGGGTTTCATTCCAAAACTGTCGGTATCTTACTGTAAACCATAAGAATTTTGATGGGCACATTGTCACGTAACCCCACAGCTTTAGGGAATCACTAGATTCTGTTTACTCAATTAAATGAATAATATTTTGAAAGCTTAATTATTGAAAAATAATGTTCTAAACTTCTTTAGAATAATTAATAAGAAATGTCTAATGTTTTGTAAGCCAATTATCAGTGACTCATCTTATGTTTGAAGGGAACAATGTGGGGAGGTTTTTTTTTAGCAAATTGCATTACATATTTTGAAGTCATCTCTAAATACATTGTCTTAAAATCCATAATTGATAAGATAGGTATATTGTTATAATTTTCTGTTTGTTGGAAACAGACATATCAGCCATGACACGAGTTTAATGTCTTTCAATCACTACAACAAATGATAACACTCATACCTAACCAACAGTCGTTATATATAAATTTAAATTTTGTTTGTGTAGATAAAACACATACACTACATAAAAAACCCTAAACATTTTTATTTCTAAACCAGGGTTTTTATATACTATAATTATAAATAAGGTTTATGTTTAATCCTTTCAGAGTTTTTGTCGAATATATTCGACATTTAAAAGTACTCTTTTTTTTGCGATTTTTCGGTTATCCTATGTACCGTTACTATTGATGTTTTTGTTTTTGCTGAAAAACAGACGAACCTGGCCGAGGGTTGAAATGAACATTGCTATTTTTTCTAAACTCTGTGCCTTTATATGCTCTTAAATACAACATTTTAGATTTTTATTCCGACAAAAATTTTTTTTGACACTGAAATGGATAAAGCTAAAGAAAAAATCGACTTCTGTTTTACTTTAAAATTATTCATTTAAGATTTGGATCAGAAACTATAAGAGCCTATGTTAATTTTTTTTCCGTTTGAGGGTTCTTGCACCCAATAACAAAGTGTAGTTTGTTAGAACAGTCTTATATATTAATAAATGTATCGTGGCCTATAAATATAAAGTGTTTCTTGCAATTTTTACAAATTTAATTACATTATATTATGTAGACTTTATTAATTTCCTTTTTTTCCTTTATTTCTTCCTTCTCTTTAGCCTGACAGCCCGTATCAAGGTGGTGTGTTTTTCTTAACAATTCACTTTCCAACAGATTATCCATTCAAACCACCAAAAGTGGCTTTTACAACGCGCATATACCATCCAAATATAAACAGTAATGGATCTATTTGCCTCGATATATTGAGATCTCAGTGGTCGCCAGCACTAACTATATCAAAAGGTAGTTTTAATAAAAACAATAAATGAATATATTTTTTAAACACACAAATAATTAATTGCATTTATTTTCGTTTTCTTACAGTTTTATTATCAATTTGCTCTCTACTCTGTGATCCAAATCCAGATGATCCTCTTGTTCCAGAGATTGCAAGAATATATAAAACTGATCGGGAAAAATATAATGAATTGGCACGAGAATGGACTAGGAAGTATGCTATGTGATGCGTTCCAGTTTGTATAATTGAATCGTCGTCGGTGTTGATGTCGTCGTTGTTGTTGTTGTTGTTGCCATCGTTACAGTCTTCAACATCATCATCATCACTACCATCATCGTTGTCGTCGTTGACAAAATTAATGTTGCCGACGTTGTCGCCGCCGTCGTCGTCATCATCATTATTCTTATATTTCAACTTAATTATAATAATATTATTGTCGTCGTCAAATGGTTACAACAACAACATAAAGAAGAACAACAGCATCTGCAACTATTTAAATCAATTCAATAATGATAAAAACAACAAGATCAACTATTACAACTACTACAACAACAATAATAACAATGATAACAACAACAACAACAATCGCAGCAGCAACAACAATATAATATATTAAAGAGAGAATAAATACAGCAACAAGAAATGTGTTTTGTAAAGAGAAAGATGATTTGAAGGATTAAACAAAATAATAATAAAGGAAACAAAAAAAAAAAACAAAAATTATAAAAGAATTTTGCTACTATCACTACAACAACAACAACTTACTTAGCGACAAAATAAACAAAATTATGTAATGTGTAAACGCTCTTAAAAAGAAATACAATTAAAAGTAAAAGAAAACAAAAACAAAAGATAAAACAACAAGTAAACATATATTACTTATAATGAAAAGAAATACAAATACACTACCAAACAGAAAACAAACAAAAAACACAGCGACATTGCATACCACACATACCCTACCCCCAAGGTCCTCTTATTACAGACACAAAACAAAAAAACCATACACATACACGCAAAATGATTAAAAATACATCATTAATTAAAAAAAAAAATAATAATAAAACAATGGCATAATGATGTGAAAAAAATACAACAAAAATTAAACAATTAATAATAATGATATTAATAAATAAAAAACAAATTCATTTATTCAGTTTAAACAATTTACAAGAAGAAAAAAAAAACAAAGAAGAAAGAGAAGAGGAAAAAGCAAGTAAATGAAAATGTGTAAAAAAGAAAAAATTTTAAGAAACCAATACCGTGCAGAATGCAAGCTAGCAGCGTTGACTAGCAATTGATTTGCAGTCAACACTTTTTACAATTCCCATTTTTTATTGTATCGTTCGTTAAACCTATTTCCGCATTTATGATATGCTTAAATAAATCAATATACCTAAATTAATCTAAAAAAAACTTAAATTGTATTCCCATTCAACTCACAAGAATGGGAAATTGTCATTTTAAAAGACATATTTGGCATGTCTTTTTTTTTTTTTTTTTGCATACGGAATTACTATCCAATACGAGAATATGCCAGTTAATTTTTTATTTCAAAAGTTGCCAAGGATCTTCTTGGAAGTTTTAATATCCAATTCTCGCCGTAGCAACGAATTTTCAATTTCATAAAGAAAAAGCGACTGCCAATTAATTATCCATTTTTTTGCTTTCAAGTCAGTTAAAATTAATTTGTTTTCATATTATGCTATTTAATATGACATACAACAATTAATGTGGAAGCTGTTTTCCTAAACATAAACATTTTAGAACCCATTCTTATATATATACATCTTTGCAAATGCATATTGAATGTCCATATGTGCATTCATAAAACATTCGTTTCTCTTTTTGTATAACAAAAGTGTGTTTGGTTATTTTTTTTTTTTTTCAAAAATACGTGGTTTTTAAAATAAACATTTTTATTGCATTACTATATGTTGATTTAAAAAAAGAAATCCAACAATATTTCAGTTTAAACCCCGAGCATAATTGGTTTCTTAAAAATATTTAAGAATTTTTTGCTGTGCTGTCATTCATTCTATATTTTCATTTCTGAAGATATATATTTTTTGTTTTTTTGCAAATGAAAAACAATGATCCCCCATACAAGTTGAGACAACACTGCTTAGAATTCATTCTTCTATATATGTGCTAAGATCCAATCACATAAATGATATTTTTTTAAACTTATTTTCTTTTTTCTATGAATGGAACTTTGTCATTGTAGCTCCTTTTCATCATCTGTATATTTATGATGTTCACTTGTTTTAGGTGTAATCTAAATAAGTAAATACGTATTTTAATTTTTAATAATTTTCAATAATAAACGTATAAAAATATACAAACTTTTGTTGATCATCCTTTTATTCATTTTCTAGATTTTTCATTTAGTTTTAGATCCGATTCGCAATTATTGTCATCAGAATATAAGAAATACTTTGTTTATAAAAGTCGAGTATACAAGTGGGCTTTGTTGTTGTTGTAGTGGATTCTATGTGGAATGGAGGTTTGAAATGTACGGTTTGTGTTGGCGCATTGTATTCTAAACACAAACGCGGGTCTGGTCTATATAAAACGTTTGCTTCATTGAAATTTTCATTTTCTACACAACATTTTATTTCGAAAACTTATTTACTGGGGCACTAATGTTAGATGTGATGGAATTAGGTATGTCAAACTGGCTGGATTGTCCAGTCTTTTTCATGCTTGTTCAGTGTCAAGATAAAATTTAACTTGACAATAACTTGGGAACAATGATTTTCGTGTAATCTTTGTGAAATTATGCTAGTTAACACTAGTTGTACATTTGTTATACAACTATGTTATGATTTCCCTCATGTAACATCCGTGAAAATATGTTTTTTCTCTAATGATTTTAGTTTTATATAAACAAAATCATGTTGATCATAAACAAGACGAAATTATTCTGGACATCAATTCCTTTTCAATTTGTTCGATTTTCCCTTTAAAGTTTTTCTAAACAACAATTTGCAGTTAATTTTTCGGTGAATGAAGTCCGAAAGCTAAAAAATTCGCTATGGGGAAAAATAAGTTATTCTGGATTACAGGTAGTGGAAGAATGTGATTACATATAGAGGAAATTTTTCGCTAATAAATTAAGAGCGACTATAAAAATATAAGTACAGTAAAATCTCGCTAAACCGGATAATTGATTGCAGACCCCAATCCCGATTATCGAGGATTTTAAATTGGTTTAATTTTTTATTCACCCTTATTACGGTAGGCGTAGTCGTAGTACGGCATCGCTCGTAGGCTTAGTCGAATGCGTTGTCGTAGTCGTTTTTGGTCGGTGTTATGTAAAATTTATGACGCCAAATTTTGTAATAGATTTTTCTTGTACTCTGTTACAAAACCAAAGCAAAAATTGTACTTTTAAAACCTTTTTTATATTGTATTGGAAAAACTATGTCATTTTGTTTTTCTAAGTAAGTGTAAATCTTATTAATATTGAGAAATACAATACGAGAAATACAATAAAATAAAGGGTAATGTAGCAGTTAACATTAAAGGGTAATGTTAACTGTTACATTACCCTTTTTTATTGTATTTCTCAATATTCATAAGAATTACACTTGCCAGTAAATATTGTTAAAATGCAAATTTAACACATTTTTATACTTTTTGTATGCTGTCGATTTTCATAATACCGATTTGTCGTTTAAGTGCGACAGGGCCCAATTATTATCGGTTAGTTTTACGATACTTTAAAGACGTGGGTAAAAACTTGGGTAAATACCCGAGTTTTTACCCAAAAATTGGGTATAAACTCATTAAATGCCAAACCACTTGACATAGGCGGCCAAAATTTTGCACACATGTTTCTAATGTCAAAGCAAATATAGAAATCCAAAATGGGGTCCCGTTTTAAGGTATTTTTTGTCTATTAGATTCATTTTACAACCAAATTGGCTGTAATTTGGCACAGAGTGTTTTCTTTGGGTACCAAATGTCCATGCAAAATTGTATGTATGTAGGTCCACGTTTACTGGTAGCCACCATACAAAGGTACCCCTATTTTGAGTATTTACCCTAAAATTGGGTATAAACTCATTAACTGCCGAACCACTTGACATAGGGGGCCAAAAATTTGCATACATGTGCATACAAAGCAAATATAGAAATTCAAAATGGGGTCCCTGGGTCCAAGTTTTGATATAGCCCCCATATATCCGTATCTTCCGATTTAAGGTATTTTTTGCCTATTAGACACATTTTACAACCAAATTGGCTGTAATTTGTCACAGAGTGTTCTCTTTGGGTACCAAAGGTCAATATTTTATTTATTGATTTTTTTATTAAAAATGTTTACTTTTTATTGTTATTTAAACTTTATAACAATACAAATGTGAAATATCAATAATCCGGTGTATAAATGCTTTGTAATTAAAAGAAAAAAATTTTTAGTTTAAAAAAATAATAAACAAAATATGTGAAAAATATTACACAATTTTGATGCAATTTGGTGCAACACACAACAATAGATTACAATATAAAACACACATTTTTTATGATGGCAAAAACAAAACGAATAATGGGAGGAAATCGGCTGTTGAATTAATTAATTCACATTTTTTTTATTTCTACACACATTTCATATTTTACAATATGGCCACACAAATTCTTAAATATGGCCAGTTATTTTATGAATGTGAAAGCGAATTTTTTACATGCGAGATATCTCCCAATGAATATCCAGAATAATGCTGATAAATAGTTTTATGTTTTTAAATCGTCATAGAATAAATATTGTGTAAATATTTCTCATAAACATATTTATTATCTATGTTTTTGTAGTCAGCTCTCTTTGTGATCATATACAGCCTTATACTGGATATCAATTCCACGTGAATTTACTCGATCTTCCCCTTCGACTTATTCTGAACAACATTTTTCTGTGAATTTCTTCGCATTCTCGCTTTCGCCTTATTCTGAATGAAGTTCGCTTTGGGGAAAATTACATCAAAACAATGAACAGCTATTTCACATGCCATATTGTAGGTTCCCATATTTTCAAACTTTAATTTATTTTCTTTCAATTACAAAGCATTTGTACAGCGGATTATTGATATTTCACATTTGTATTGTTATAAAGTTTAAATAACAATAAAAGTAAAAATTTTTAATAAAAAAAAATAATAAACAAAATATTGAAAAATATTACACAATTAAATTGCCTATCTTGCACGATCTTATCTCAAATCAGCTGTTTGAGCAACACAAAACTTAGTATCTTTTTATAATTTTGTGATTTTAGGCAACTATAACATATTAAACTATCATAATGTGCATTTTTTATTTTATTTTTTATTTTATTTGTTATTTTATATAGAAAAACGTGTATACACCCGACTCTCACTATAAAAACGTAGGTGTAAAGAATTAACTTCAAACGGGTGTA